TGGTGGATTGATCGTGCACCACAAAAAGATCTGATACCATATGTTGAAAAAACTCTTAGTGCAAAACAATTGTTTGCATTAGATCGAAGAGGTAAAACTGTTTATGGACCATTGAGTCGCGATGTACTAAATCAATTTCATGATGATCATATTAGACGACATCTTCAAACTGATATCTATGCTACTTTTATTGAGTCAAATGAAAATTCTACTTTAAAAGTTCAACCGTACAAGTTAGCATCCTCATTCGCATGATTTATATTGTTTTCAATAAAGATTAGTCAAACGATCAATCTTCTGGCAATGCATGTCTTAACTCATTGTGATAGTACTGGGATTTTAATAACTCATTGTTAAATTTTTGATTTAGAAAGTTTAATATTTCAAAAAATGAATACTATTTTATATATATCTTTCGAAAAAGATAACATAGTGAGTAAAAACTGCAGGTGTGGATGTACGTGTTGGTTACTATTTGCATTAACTGAAGACCCACTTTCCCATCAATTTCCAATATCTATACCCTTGGATTCTCTCTCCTTTCTTCCGTGATAGAATGTCCAGGCCTTATATTATGTTCACGATTACTCTTTTCTACCTATATCTTGTTGCTTGTAAGTTAGGTTATTTTCTTCCTTGCTTCTGAATGAATGGGCATACATACTATTGTGTCACCTTTTTCTCTCCTCTAAGAAATTATGAGAGAAGTGATACCAATTATTTACATATCTATGTAAATATGTAGGTAATGTCAAATGGAGAAGGATAGTCTTGAGCAAAGAAGAAATGAGAAACCTATAACAATCTCTATCAGTCTCTATTTTGATAATGTGCACCTGAGATCTACACAACTTATTGTATTATACATTTCGGTATCCTTTTTTTTAATAATAGCGCACACATACGACCTTATCTACTACTTGAATCAAGTAAGCTTGATGATAACATTGAAAAAAGTATCTAAGTAATGCAATGCATACAAGTAACAAAGATCATTTGGTTTGTAATGGATAGTGAACCCATGAAGTATTTTGAAATAAACTGTTAGATATGAATGATTGAGATAGAAATGTATTGAGTAGAAGATTTGAAAAAGTTGCGTAATTGATTGGGGATAAGGTCATGTGTTTTATTTTGGTACGATATAATTTTTCGACATTAAGTATATGTCAACAGAGTTTTTTTTTTATTATTCTTAGAGTTTTTAGCTATTGATCAGAAAGTGGAGTTAATGCAACACGGTTATAGTGAAAAAATATTCGAAAATCATGAATATTAAAATATATCAGGTTGATGCCTTTACTGGTCAATTATTTGGCGGCAATCCAGCGGCGGTGTGCCCACTAGACAAATGGTTACCCGATTCATTAATGCAACAAATTGCTGTTGAAAATAATCTTGCTGAAACGGCCTTCTATGTTCCAAATTCCATCAATGGTGGATATGACCTACGTTGGTTTACGCCTGAACTGGAAATGGATCTTTGCGGTCATGCAACATTGGCAACTGCACATATCATTTTCACTGAAATATCTCCAATGAAAGATGAAATCAAATTTCAAACAAAGGAAGCAGGCGAACTTACAGTTACCTGCCAAAAGGAGAATGCTTTATATACCCTCAATTTTCCAGCCCGCCCGGCGGCAAAAGCCAATTTGCCTGATGGACTATTATCAGCGTTATGTAGCGGTAAAACTCCCATCGGAATTTATAAAGCGAGAGACTATATGCTTGTTTATGAAAACGAGTCTGACGTCAAACAATTGTCGCCAAATTATACGGCTTTAGCCAATATTAATGATGTTTTTGGTGTGATTGCTACTGCTCCTGGTGATGAAGTCGATTTTGTTTCGCGATACTTTACGCCGGGCGCCAGTATTCCCGAAGATCCGGTTACTGGTTCAGCACATTGCAGTCTGATCCCTTATTGGTATGAACGATTGGGTAAAAATATGCTGCATGCTTACCAGATTTCGGCGCGCAAAGGAGAACTTTGGTGCGAAAACAAAGGCGACAGAGTACTGATATCAGGCAAAGCAGTCACCTATTTAAAAGGTGAAATAATCATTTGAATTTGCATGCTCATTCAATTGATGAATTCATTTCTTCATTTTCAAAATCTAACATTTTTTCTATTAATTTTAGACAATAAAAATAACGAAGAGAACATGATTTGATGCACCCACACTCACATCAAATAAGCCTGGCTGCAAAGAGCTGTGCAGGGTATATCATAACTATAAATGGTCGTATTTTGTAGTATTTTTTACCAGTCTAATTACAACCCTTTATCACCATAATATGACCTGGTAAAGAAATCGACAAAAAACTACCATTTACGATAACAAACGGTGGGATCAAACCAATCTTTAACTTTTTTTAATGTTTCAAATTACGAAAACACCAAAGAAATAATCTCCCTATTAGTTCCGCATTTCTCACAATCACTTTTTATTTTGATTACTAAGGATGGGTGTCGATCTTCTGTTCAGCCACATCAATACCCACACCGGCACTCACACACACAACCTCATCTCATGGGTTGATATGTGACTCGATAGATATTATCTTTAGATATTCTTCCTAATCTTGCTGTTTTAAATTGTTGGAACAAGTATCATTCATAATAGTTTTGCTAAAGAAATTCCACTGATCACAGGCCTCATCTCCTATTACGGAGCAGTCCATCAAATGAGAATAAAGAGGATTCATTGAACTTATCAGTAATTATTGGTTAGCGTGACTAACTATTGTCCTATGAATGCAACAACTATGGCAAAGGCTCTCTCACACGCTGTGTTTTATTAGGCAAACTGAAATTGCTTGTGAGCTTTTCGATTTTCTTGTTAGACTCTGTGGCAACCAATCATAGAATAGAATCCACTTCTCATTGTTTCTGATGATTATTTAAGTTTGAATGAATCCGATTTTCAGTTGCGAAAAAGTAGACCTTTCTTTTTAGTGATGTTCTGGGATATCTGTTTGTTATATACTTCAATGTCAGTCCAATTCATAAGGAAAATTTCTTCATCATTTATATAATCATCACGTAAGTAGTGAACTAATGAAGTAGAACGAAAATATGAACATGTATTAATCCTATGAAAATAGAAACAATCGACATCGTGGAAACCCACACTGTAAGATACAACAGAAGAGAATGGTCAGTATGAATGCACCGCTCGTGTAAACGAAAAATGTCCAATATAATACAGGATGACAATAGGTTCTCGTTTCGGTTCGTTTACTGAATTGAACTCGTCTAAAAGCATCGAGAAGTGATGGTATTGCAAAACAAATTCGAATATCCAAGAACAAAAGAAGTCCTGCAATCATTACGAGCATCCAACTTTCAATTGAACACCACCGACATTTTTGCGATAACTCATTGTTTTTATCATTCGAATCTTTTGAGTATGCTACAACTCTATTAATGGAAAAGTAGGAAAAAAAAGAGATAAACAACGTTTTTGTTTTTGTATTTCACTTACATGATAAGTAAAGTAACTAGAACAATGAGAACGAGACTGCACGTGCCAGAAGAGATTATGCATTCAGCAATACTACGAATGATCAGACATAGATCTTTAAAACAGATGCCGATAATCAACGCTATGCATGAAAATAGCGAAAAAATGAGTGCCAATCTATGTATCGAAAAAACAACCAAGTAAAATATTGAATGCAACAAGTAGATTGTACATACATAAAGAAAGGTTTCAAATGAACTTTTTCTGATTCATTCAAGGCTTCAGTCGTTTTCGTTGGTTCTGCCGGCTCACCCAATTCAAGTTTCTCATCTGCTACTTCCATCGATCAGAGATACAACGACGTTTGTGTTTTTCCAATCGTATTCAAACAAGAATGCTTATTTGCAATAGTTTATTTGATGTCTATTTGGGTGAATAGAAAAACTATTTTGTTTGTCAGACTAAAACGCATAACACTCGTGCCTTTTTTTTCTTCTCGTATCTTTTTTTCTTATGCCACTGAACGCAAGACGTTTGCTAGTGTTTCGACTCAAAAGAAGGGAAAAAATAGTAGCATATAGCCTTCTCAACGGTAGTAGGAGAACGATGGGTAGTAGTATTATTTTTCTTTCCACTTACTGTGTGCTAGGCACCATCATGTTTTTTATTTCTATGCTTAAGACGAGAAACGTGAAGAAAATTATTTCATCAAGATGCTTAAGTCATATAGACTCAAATCAGAGTTGATCACGAGAAAATTCTTTTATTTTGTCATAGACATCTTATTGCGAGGCTTTTCTATTGGCGATATGAACTGTGATTGAATTTTTCAAAATTAAATATCAATTTTGACATTGCCACTATTGAACAATGCTCAAAATATTTAGTTCTCATTTTGAATCTCGAATATCATTGATTTCACTTTTTTTAACTTCATCATTATCGACTACAAATACACTTACGAGGGAAGGTCACCAAGTGTGAATCACTGTTTCGAATCTGGTTTTTGCCATTTTGTAAATCTCAGTGAGTACAACATGTAATATAAAGGGCTCGTCCCCATACTAGACTTTTAAGGGATTACAAGGTAACATAAAGAGTGTCTCATAGTAACTTCGGATAAAGTGTTAATGATATTTTTCATACTTCATCTTCATTTAGAGAGCTGAAATTTTTATTACGGTTGTAATCCTCTTCGCCGAAAAGCACTTTATCGAAAGACTCGTAGGACGTCTTAGACTGTTGCGAGCCCTTTAATTCTTATATAGGCTTGTTCAGCATGAAGAGGTCAACTCATTTTGTCCTCACCCGCACCTTTGAGGTGCCCTCCTTGGCCAAAAAGTACTTTCGACGAAGTATATTTCGACGAAGAGCATACATACCATAAATCTCAAATTAGAACAGATTCTATTCACATCGAAATTCAGTCGTACAAAATTTTAATGTAAATGTATTATGATGCATCATTGTTGCAAGAATCAGTTTAACGAGAGCCATTGACAGTTCATTCCTATGATGGTAAAATATACTAAGCAAATAAATAGTAAAAAGCAATTAATCAAGATATGGGAAGAGCTGCTGGACATCGAGGAGATTATTCCTATCTCCTTATAATTGATAAATGAGATGGAAAAGCAAAGATATCATTGATATTATCTCATTGGTCGACAAATGCAGAATTTTAATGAAACATCAAATACAATTCAATAAGGTTGATTTAATTGTTTTTTGGGAAAAAAATCTATTGATTAATTTTCGCTGTTTGTTGGATGTGCAAGTAATCAAATATCATCATACGCTATTAGATAATTTTCTAAGCTTACTGTTGATAAAATGAGTTCAATATTTATCATGTATGAAACGTAAATCTAGAAAATGCTGTCGAGCAACGAACGCCTTTCTCTGTAAAAATTGATACTGAGTCAGTCAAATAATAATTGAAAACTCAGTGTACAGTTAGATGAACATGTCAAATAGATGTTCATGCCGATTCGTTTTCTATGGACACTCTGTTGTATATGACGAATAATTGAATATTTAATCAGTACACTTATCTATCTTTACTATTAAAAGATTGTCTTCGAAGTACTTTTATATAATGAATTAAATTCTGTTTTATTCGATAATTTTATACATATAACAAATGAAATTTATTTAAGTTCGTCCAGTTGATGATAATGTTTTAATCCATTGATGATATTTTGTATTAGCTGTATCAATAAGATCTTCCATATGACCTGCCAACTAAAATATAATAGATGTTATTTCTATTCTATTACATATCAAATATAAATATTTACATGAAAATCTGTTAAAAGATCAGTTGATACTTTTTCTTTAAAAGCATTAACTTGTGTTTCTCGAAAACGTTCAATTGTATCATGAACACGATGAATCTAATTTTAGTAAAAAAAAGACAAAAAGAATTAGTTTAAAAAAAACCTATTCAACTGAAACAAACTTTTTCTTCAATTAAAGGTGAACTCGGTGGAAATGATGACCAAAAATGACGAAGAAGTTCACTCAATGATATATAAATAGTTTGCATTTCTTCTTGAATATTTTGAGGGACAATTTCTAGGGAGGGAAAAAAATAATAAATCAAAAATACTTTAATCAATTTATTAATTTAAATTACGTGATAATGTTTGTGCCGTTGTTCCATGCATAAGAGCACCACCAGGTGTTAAATCTTTAACAATTCTATGTGCTAAAGATGAATTCAAACTCTAGAAAAAAAAAACAAATACAAAATAATTTTCGAATAAATATAAAATAAGTACATTACTAATTCTGTATTAACATGCCAATTGGTCATTTCTTGTTTGAGATTATTAAGATTTGTGGGTATTTGTAATACAGAATTTTTTTGTGAACGATCTGTTGTTGGCGCACGTAGATATCTTTCAGGATTAACTAATTTTAATGTTTGAGTTTCTTCGGGTGGTTCGGTTCGCAAATCTTCTAAATCATCATCTGGTTTAAACTAAATAAAAAATCAAATATGTTATGAATTTCTCGATACTTTTCTTTTTACAAACACTACTGAATTGAACTGAAGTTTCAATAGGCTTTATTTAGGTACCTATTCATTGTACGATTCAATTCTATCATAAAAGAAGCTCGAATAAAACGACTACCGACTTTAAGAAAGATTAAGACACGCTGAACACTGTAAGATGGTGAAGAAAAAGATTGACACTAATTTATTTTTGATTTTTTTTTCATAATGCTAAGCAATTGGTTCAAATCCAAATAGTGATTTTAATAGCTAATGTAGTTGTCTATGTAATGCATTCTATACTATGATGGCAAGGTTTATAAAAAAAACCGGACACGGTAGTTTTCAGGCTCCAGAAGACTATTTTAAAGAGAACGAAAATCGTAAAAAAAAACGAAATTTGTCAAAAAATGACCTTTTTCGGTTTTTACAGTACTTTTAAGTTTTTAATGGAAAAGTGTAGAAAATGCAGCGACCTCTCATTTTGTTCTCTTTAAAATGACATTATTAAAAACTAGTCTACTGGAACTTGAAAATTACTGTGCCTAGTTTTTTAGAAATCTTGATAAGAGAAAACTCCATTGGCGATTAGAATCACTATATAAATTTGAGTTAATTGTTTAACATCATAGAAAAAATCAAAAATAAATTATTGTTAAACTTTTTTCCACCACCTGAAAATGTTTCTAGTAAAAACTTCATTTTGATCTAACACAGTATATCAGAGAAGCGACTCAAGCAAAACAATCCATCGTTAGATGTTATGAGATCAGACAAAATCATTGGAAAAATTATGGTTTCTACTAACTGTACAGAAATCTGAACATCAGATTTAATTATGTAGAATTACTAAAGGTCACGGTTTATTTTGATTTTCAGCTCATCATACAGAATCCAAGGCCCAATTAATGGTTGTTTATCGCGGATCATCTGTCGGATAGCATGCTGACTACGTTGCGACCTACACATACTCTTGTGATCAGTTAGTGTGTATAGAGAGCGCAAGAACTCTGCGTCAGGTCGACTTTCTGTCAGAGCTACAGCTAGTCATAGTTGTAGGAAAGATATCAGGCTATTAAATCAGCTACTAGGCAGCATTCCAGACTGCAAGGTAGCTGAAATTTGAGAGTATTCTTCTTTCCTCATAAATGAAGATAATCAAGATTTTCGATAACTAATTTCTCGTCTGTCTATATTTTCAACAAAATACATAATGAACTTCATACAATACAAGAAACATTTCTACCTAAGTGAATTATCAACAATATCATACAATATTGATTAGTGTCTAACATAACTCAAACAGATCAGTTTAAAAATTAACTTTTATTGTTTCACACAAATGCATATGTTTAAAGTATGGCAAATGAATCCTGAAAAAAAAACATCACATACTTTTTTGGCAACATTATCATCATCATCATCAACAATTTCTGATCGATTTGTAGATGATGTATCATTATTTGTATCTAAACCAAGTGTACTTTTAAGTATCATAGTTGAATGAAAATTAAATCGTTTAATAAGATTCTTATTTAAATCATTTTTTCCTGTTGTTTCTGTAATACTTTCATTAACACCATAACCAATCTATTTTGAATAATTAAATAAATTATTTTACTGAAAAAACAAAAACCCTTACTTCACTTGTTTCATTGGTTTCTGGTGCAATTACAGCCATTGCTTTTCGACTAGCCCGTTCTGCTTCATTATGCATTTCTATTTAAAACAGAAAATAAAAATTGCAGGACAAAAACAAAGTAATCTTTCTCTTACTTTCATCATCTCGTTTAACACAATCTGTAAAAAGATCACGCGAATGAGATGAATGCATACGATCCATAGTAAAATAATGTGATTGAAAAAATGTTCGCCAAAAATCAGCTTCAGTCATATGTCCCGTAGGAACATTTTGATCATATTTTTCTCGAACTATTCAAATGTTTTATTAGTTATTCTCAATTAAAATTTATTATCGTACTTGCTGGATATGTACGAAAAATAGACATTATTGTATCTGTATTAAGTTTATAAATTAAACCGCCATTATCCCCTGATTCAGGACGAATATTTGTCTAAATTCAAAATATTAAATTAGATTAATTTAGTTTAATTTAATTGCATACTAAAAATGCACCAGATACGCCAGCATTTTGTTTTTTTTGTACTTTCTGTTAATTTGTCAAACTAAAATTTCAAACGAAAAAAAAAAAAAATTTTTTTGATAATTAAGTTTTTTATTTTGTTTTTTATTCAAATCCATACATCAACATATTTACTCCAAAAATCATCGGCTGGTACCAAACCACTAATAACTAGATCTTTGTACAATTGATAAACTGTTTTATTTTCATTTAAAATTCTATGAAAAATAAACAATAGGTATTAAAAACTTCGAAGATTTCATTCAAAAATTTTTAAGACTATAAAATCTCTTCATTAGTATTGGTTGAACACAGGTTAGAGTGTATTCGTCATTGAAAATGTATTTGAATAAATTTAGAAAAATTAATCTCATTGAAATGAAATTTCTTATTAGCATTAAACTAATCAATGTGTTTTTTTTGCACAGTTAATAGTACATTTATTTTTTGCTATTGTATACACAAAGTTTGTATCTGGCAAATGACACATCAGCTAATCGATGATCAAAAGAATGATAAACATTTTCTTCATGAAATCTACTCTCTAATCAAGTCTGTACCATTGAAAACTGATAAGATGTTAAATATAGCGTAGTATGTCAATAACTGTCATCTACAAGACTTCAAAATTGTATAAGAACGAAGAAAAGAGTGCTCTTAAAGATGTCATTCTTCATGACGATAATGACAGTGTGTATTGAGTTCAGATTACTTACGAATTTTTGACAGAAAAAAATTATGTAGAACAATATTCAAATCTTCTATATTCTCTCGATCTAAGTTCCTATGACTTCTCCTTATTTCTAAAGTTTAAATATTAACTAGATAGAATTTAGTTCGATGACGGCAAAAATTTTTCGAACACTGATTTATTTGAATGCGCTGATACTGTATACTATCCAAGTCATGTTATTGATCGTGATCCAATGAAATTCTGGTTTACTAATGAAATTTGCCTTGATTTTCCAATATTATCAATAGTAGTCAGAAGAGTAGATGTTTCTGTGGAAAGTTATTCGTTTATACTGATTACATTTTCAATTCTATATCTTTATGTTTGTTTTGTTCATTCTATAGATGTCAAATTCCTGCACTCTGCAGAACAGAATGAAGAAAATCGTTTTGTAACGTTTTCTACTAAATACAGTAAATAAATTATTCGTTAATTGTAATAATAATTTTTCTATTAGCTAATTTAGTATGGCCACATTGATAATAGATTTTATAAAAATATTAGAAAGACTATTGTAATTATGAAATTTTCTTACTTAGTTTTAACTTCTAATGCTTGATCCATCATTGTTTTAAATTCTGGTAATAGAATTTTAAGTAAATCCGAAACAGCATCACGATCTTTTCTTTGTGCATCAAGTCCAATTGGATTACAAAAATGGAATGTTGTCATCATTTCATTATAACAAACAATTTGTAAACGTATTTTAGATTTCTGATCCGATGATATACGATGATCTTCAGATATATAAAGAGTAAAATATTATTTCAAATAAGAAAGAATAACTTACATTTAATATCACAATAATCAAAAGATAATGTAAATACATCTTTATGTTTAGGCATCCAACCCATACGCTCACTCATCATATATAATGTTCCTTCAACTTTTTTACTTTTAACATGATCGACTTTAAGTCGAACGTCTTCCCCGTTTGGCATCTAAAAATATTCAAATAAAAGAACTTGTTCAACATAATTTAATTATGATTATCTTAGACAAGCAATTCTTTTTGTTTTTTAAATATGATTTCAGATAATATTATTTTCATTAATCTATCATCTATGAAATACGGAATAATCTAAAAATGAACTAAATCTCTAGGATATTTTAGATATTTATTTTATAGTTAGTGTTTTCAAAGAAAGGCATATACAGTAAATAAGCAACAATAACAGATAGATAGGTATAAGATTGTTCATATTTATTTTTTTAATCTTTAATAAGTGGTCGAGTTGTTGTTGTCCCACCAGCACTACTTGGAATAACTGAAGTTGAATTTGATTGTTTAAAATTAGCTGCTGCTTGATATTGTAATTGATAAGCCATTGAATGAATTTTAAAGCCATAAAGTCGTGCAACAAATTGATTTGTTGGTCGTTTTGGTCGATATTCTGGATGAACCATAAATAACATATGAGGAAAACCTGTACTAAAATATGCACCATCTGTATGATGATGTCGAGAACTTTTTGGTGTATAAACATCCATGCATTTAGGACAATAAAGTTTAACCATGGCCTCACCAGGAACTTCTGATAAACCAATCTATTAGAAAATATGGATAAAAGAAAATAAAGAAAAAAGAAATGTTTTTTATTTTGAAGGGTGTCCCGAGCATGATGGGAATTGAAGGAGTGCCTCGCTACCATTTTAGAAAAAATTTCTGTTTTTCTTCAGCGAAGTTCGAGCAGGTGACTCTCGTTCTCGGAAACAACTTTCTTTTGTTTATGAGGGAACTAGTTCAAGTGACACCCGTCATTTGAGATCATATTGGATCCACAGACAGATCTGAGTAAGACCAGCAAAAGTCTAAAATGGTTCGTCACTATTAGCCTTTGGCGCCAAGTTATGACCGGTTTACTGGATTTTTATCCATTTTTAGGTGCATCTCAGAAGACCAAAAAGGGAGTTTTGATTCAAAATTTTGCCTTTAGACATGTCTAATGAATCTTAGAATATCCTGAAAATTTCAACCAAAAAGAATGTTTCTTCGTCAAGATATTGAATCCTAAAAAATATCTCTTTACACAAAGACATGTCACAAAAATCGAGTTCACTTGAAAATTCAATAACTGAACGAAGAAACATTCTTTTCGGCTGAAACTTTCACGATATTCTAAAAATCATTAGATCTATCTATAGACAAAATTTTAGATCAAAACTTCAGTAAATCTGTCATAACTCGATGTCAAAGAACAATGCTGGAGAACTCTTTTAGGATTTTGCTATTCTCATTGAAACCTGTCTGTGGATTCAATATAAGCTCAAACAGTGAGTGATTGAATATCACTCAGAAAATCACTTTTAAGAAAATAAAGAGTTTTTCGGTGAAAAAACCTCAGGAAAACTCTTGTTCACATTTTGTCGAGAAAATCTTTTCGTTATGAAAATGTTTTATACCACACATTATTCAATATAGTTCCGCGCACTGATTTCGAATATACTATTGATTTTCAATAGAAACTTGCCGTAGGGTTTCGGAGAGCCTATGTTAACTGCAGTGATAGAGTATATAGAACAGAACATTCTAACATAGTTTAAGCGGATTTGGATTGGCACACGTTCGTTTTTTACTGAGCTTAATCATTCCAAAAGCTAGTTTAGAAAAAACTTTTTTTTCTTAAAAATCATACATTCAATTTAAAATGTTTCTTTTGATGATCGATACATGTCTCAAACTATATTTGAATCGACGACTTTCGTTTTTACACATAATGTCCGCCTGAATATACACTGCACCCCGAAATTCGATTAACTTTAGTAAAAATTTTCTGATTGATCTTATGAGTCATCGATTCTCTCCTTCAATCCTAACAGGCTCGAAACACCCCCTGTTTTTGTACCGGTAACATTGGTTGATTGTCACAATAAATACGAGGACAAAGACCAAAATCACCATTTTGAAATTTTTCAAGCATTTGTGCTATACCATTATTAGTCAATATATAACGTGCATGGATAAGACCTATTCAAGTATGATTAAATTGTATTTTTCTTTTTTCCGAAAAAAAAAAAATCCTATTTACCATAAAGCATTTCAGCAGCTTGTTCAATTAAATCAGATTGATTTGGATTATCTTGATTATCAAGATCATCATCAGGTTCAAGATCAAGAATCATATCAAGTGCTTGACGATAATGTGGCACTTGTTCATTAAGACCCGTCTATAAAATAATAATTTAAAATTTAAAATAATATTTTAAATCTTAAATTAACATACTAAATTAAATTTATCTTGTATATAATCTTCATCAACTTCACAAAAAAATTCATTCCCACGAAGACCACAGAACCATGAAATCCACGAAACTATTTCGACAAGAAAACGATTAAATAAAAATCAAAAAAAAATTCATTTTACAATACCTTCTTCTGATGAACTCATTGAACTTGTTTTTGATTTCGTACCACCAGCAGCAGACGATGATGAATGATCGTCCTTTATTATATATGCAGCTCCAGTCGAGGCCAGAACAAAGACACCAATAGAAAAAAATCTAAAGAAAACAATGTCTTAATAATTATATAAAATCATATCATTTGTTTTTTGTTTTGGATTAATGATTAAACACAAAAAACAAGACTGATTGTATTCTATCAATTACCGTTTTATATGATTAGCTGTTTAAAATTCAATGCTTTTGATAGAAATATCAAAATGTGCAAGTCAGTAGTATCTTAGCACAACAAATAGGCAAAAAAAAAGAACAAAAATCTAAAAACTAAATATATCATATATAGATAAAATTGTTCTATCATCGACGAAAACAAAATAAAGTTTTCCTCTATTTTCTTTCATAATAAATATATATAATTCTACTAGATAAAGCAACAATAAACATCATCTGACAAACAATAGGTTGAGGTTCTAAATCAAGAACACACTACAATAACGACATATCATTCGGTGACAGAATAAAAACAAAAAGAAAAGAACAAAGAAAATTGTTGACAAATTAAAAAATCAATATCATAATAAAAGATCGAATTTTCTTCTTTTTTTTTTGTTTTTTTTTTTCGTTAAATTAAACATTAACCATTGATCCTAATTGTTTATCAACAACATAAAATTTTCCTTTGTCACTAAATAAACCCCAAAGAACTGCAGTTATTTCGCATACAACAACAAATGGAATTGTTGCTAATGTGCCACATATTCGAAGTGCAAATTGTGCATAACCTAAACGTACTAATGAAAATGAACGAATTGCGCCAATTATATATAAATAAATATTAACAGCTCCAACATAACCAATTAAAAAATTTAATGTCCAATGTAAAGGTATAGGACAGAGCGGAGTAAGAATCACATTTAATGAAGTTAGTGGTAATGTAACCCAGGAATATAATGCGATGCCTAAAACAAACAAAAAAAATAAAAGTATTTTTTTTTTTTGTTCATATAATTATTAATTTTACCTAATCCAATTCGAACTCGAATAGGTAAACGTGTATCATGAACAACAAGTAAAATTCCTTGTAACCATCGTTTACGTTGTTTAATAAAATCAGTTAATGTAAATGGACTTTTTTCCCACATTTCACCTAAAAAATTAAAACAACAAACAAAAATTGTTAATAAATTTTTATTCATTTATTAAAACAAACCTTCAATCCAACCAAATTTTTTATTTTTTGACATAGCTAACATTGCAAAATATGTATCTTCAGCTATTGAACCAGAACGTCCATTATCAAATGTAACTTCAAATTCACATTGAGCTCGACATACAACAAATGATCCTTTAAATAAAAATGGTGGTTGATGAAATTTTTTTAAACAAAATCTTAAACATCCTAAATCAACACCAACACGCATACTATCAGCTAATGTTGTTATATGATTAACAATTGTTTCATTAGCATATGTTATTAAACCTTGTCCAATATCATATTCATTTGCATTAACAAAATTTAATATACCACGTACACTATTTTCTGTTAATAATGTTTCTTCATCTAAATGTACAATATAATCATCTGGTGATAATTGATTAACATCTGGTTCTAATGCATATTGTAATGCACGCGATTTATATAATGCACCTGTTTTTGTTCGATAATCATTTGGCACAACAATTTCACGAATCATACTTGTTGGTAAACCGATTAAATTTATTGATTTATCAGTAACAATTTCAATTTGAAAATTATTTAAACCAACTTTTGCACATGTTTCTAAATTTCTTTTAACATTTGTACGTACTAAATCTGGATAATCACCACGTGTTACAACACGTATACGTATTTTTGGACCTAATAATGGTGAATTTTGTAATGTTGGTCGATCAGGAAAAACATTATAGAAAATTAAACCACATGTATGACATATAACCAATGGTAATGGTAATAAAGATAATAAACGTATAAAATAAATAATTATCGTTGAAAATAATCCATAATATTCAATTGGATTATCAGTAAGATATGTGGAAGTTATTTGATACGATGGAAATAAAATTATACCACCGGCCATTATTTCAAATATAAAAATAAATATTAGAAAACAACATACATGTAGTATATGACGACGTTGTGATGATAACATTGCTAATTTTTATCTATGTTTTGATCTTATTTGTCTGCAATAAAAAATAAAAAAGAAAACTATTTCATGTATTTATAGAATGATTTTTTATATACGCAAATTTTTAATATAACAGAAAAACAAGACGCATAACAACAATCAAGGCCAATATTTTTCTTTCATTCTACATAATTTTTATGGATCTTACCTGATGATAACTCAAACTGTAAACAAATACAAATGTGTATGCATTCTGTCACACAAGTTATACTACTAATATTAATATTCATCAAAAAACAATTCGATTAAACGTCTTATGTCTCTTCTCCTAATCAAAGTGCTCGATCCATTTTTATAATGTATGTATATTTATATAAGAACCACAGATACTGAAGACTTTGACCTCCATTATTAGTTCTCATCTCAGGGACATCAGTAGACAAAGAAGAGATAAGAAGAAAAAAAAACCTATCTTTTAAGTATTACAAAAAACAATGTATTTGATATTTGTCATCTGTTTTTCTCGAAATGTTAAGTCTTATTGTATTCGAGTAAATATACGTATTTGACTAGACATTATTTATAGTTTCAAAAACTAAATCGATCCTGTGTGTATAAATCATTGCGTCCATTATAGTGTATACTCCTTTTTTTTCGTCAATAGAAAAAAGAAAACAAAACGAAACGACCAAGGTAATGATAATGCATAAATATAATTTGTTAGACTTCGAACGTAGAAATGACAGATGGACCATGTTCTTTTTTTTTTGTGATTTTATCTAATAGTCCAATGTTAATCAAAATGACATTACAAGAACAGACGGAATGTTGTTGAAGCAATGAACCGACGCGAAAAGAAAAAAAGGAAGTAATAAGAATACCAAAAAAAAAAAATATATGAAGATAGACTAAATGATCAATAATAGATTCTTCTCGATTGTACATATAAGAAAGGGAGGAAAAAACAGACAGACAAACGAACCACACTCAACCAAATAAATCAGGTTATATACCAATGACTATAAGCGATGATCAGCTATATCTAAAAAACATGTATTGATTAATACAGACGATATAAATATGCGGTCTTATCTTGTTTGTTTCTTTCTTTCTTGTTGAGAAGTAGTTAAAGAACGAAAAAAAAGTAAGCGATACGTGTAAGCTATATATAATCTATCCTTTTTATCCACTACGCGGTCATGCCATCATGTGCTATGACTAATTACTTTTTTAAAGAAAAAAAAATTTATACACGTCATTTATGATGTATGATTATGTTATTTGCAAAAGAAAAATCATGATAAAAAAAATGATTCACTTACCCAGTATTCCTATTATATGTGAATGATTCATCACATGTGCGTTATATTATTTGACTAACGGCACCGGAACTAAAAGTTTCATCTAAAAAAAAAAGTAAATTCGTGTATGTTCACTGTAAATGACTAATTAAGAATGATTATAATTCAATTAAAAAAAAATATCATAATCTGTTTTTTTTTTCTTTTATATAATTAAAATAAAACAAATTCCAAGAAATACCTTCGAGACAATATGTGTTACGAATTATATTAAAAGAAAATATTATATTTGATTGGCAAGAGACTAGAATAGTAGTACTACGGGTAATAAAGATTTTGTAATCATACTTATATAAAAATTATTTCCCATTAGTTCTATACTATAGAGAATGATAATTTTTAACTGAACATCTGTGCAGATCGCATTTGGTATTGATTGCAAATTTTGACTAATTATTATCAGTTCGCACTTCAACAGTCAGCTATTATCTTCTTAAGCCCCTCTTCAGACTCGATTTACCACTTAGAACGGATCGTTTGAGCTGAAATTTACAGGAATGAATGGTTCTAGTGAGAAATGCTTATGGTAAAAATTTCAGCTCTATATATCATACTAGATCGAACTTTCAGCTTGTTTATGTGGCTTCCAGGATAATTGTTATAACTTCGTCACTATAAGGGGTACAGAGCTCGGATTGGTTTCAAATTAAAGCTAACATTTGTACCCAACTTTAGTTCGAACAGAATTTTGAAATTTTCTTCCATTCATATTTTATGACTAATATGGTGTTTAAATAAGTACAAAAAAAGATGACCCTCACTATACTAAATTCCACTTTTCTCAGGCCAGGAATCCAACATAAAAAATCTGATCGGAAAAAGTTTCCTCTCATTGAAACCTTTAAAACAAAACAAAAAATATTGGTTATACTTTGAACCAGGTGGGAGTTATTTCAATATGTCTGACTGGAAACCATGTTTTGAAAAAAAAAGGCTAAAGAAGTTTTAGAAATTAATTTATTTCATTTAACTCCAAAAAAAGTCATATTACATTTTACATATCTTTAATACATTTCAGTGAACTGTTTTAAAGCACGTGACAGTTGAAAATAGCTAACGCCATCTATCACGCTGGTTAATATAAAAGTGTGCTATAAGTGACAACGCAGTTTTCCAAAACAGAAAACTTTTAAAGGAAGACACGAAAATATGACAGTAGATTCGAAGTTTCCTGTGATAAGTCTGTGAAATTCTAGTCGTTTTGCAAGAAGTCATATATATTCTCAAAGTGGAAGCTTCAGTACATCTTCCCATGACAAAAATTCAGCTTCGATATTTTTTCCAAAAAAAAATTGGGTTTTCTGAGGAGTCTTCTTAAGGATTCACTAGAAACTTAAGTATTTATTCCAATGTTAAATTGGCATGGTGGGTACTATAATTAATAAATAATAAAATAAAATAACTAATTAATAAGAATGAACAGTTATTATATTCTTAACGTATACGTGCATTTCTCGAGTATTTCAGGTTTTGTTAAACACTAAAAATATAAATCATACGTTATACTTTTCGAAGAATAATAATTTTTGAATTCATTAGAACTTAGTACAAAAAAATAGTTTCATTTAACTTTGAGCTACTGTACAAAAAAAAACACATCGCTAAATTTTGAATCGGATCGTAACAATAAAGTTAATTAACAATAATATCAATGACTTATACTATCCATTTTCAGATATATTAATCTATTTTACATGTTTACTTCAATAATCTTAACATTTACTAATATCAAACGATATCTTACAAATGAGATATAATATCAAGCTATTCGGTACTTTATATTAAAAGCTATATTCATGGATATAGACTTGTTGAAAGTTTCATTATAGAAGTTATCAGTCATCGTTGATAGGTTTTTTTCTTGTATTCATAGATATTCTGATAAGCAAATAATTATTATTTTCTCAATAATTGAATTTTTTACTAGACGAATAAATATTTTTAAAAAATTAAAACATCTTTGACTCAAACGTACATTTTGTGTACAAAAAAGTAATTGATAAAATATTTTCTGATATTTAATAAGATATTAACTAATCATAAATGATATATACTTTTAATTATCTGATTGTATTGAATTAATCTATTCTTATTGAATATCGATTTTACCTATTGAAACAAAAAAAAGATAATATTAATGTATTTATATATATATATAGAAGAAAATAAATAAATAAATACTTCTAAATAGAAGAATTGCTATTATCTTATATTATGTTAGTTTGTATGAGCGGTTCTTAACTGGAAGAAATAGATAACAATAAATTTCACTTGATAATTTTGTTCAACAAACAATAGAATCAAAGATTTTCTTTTTTTGTACACTTCCTGTAAAATTTAATGAATGGTACATTGCATACGATTAACTATAACAGAAACTATCTTAGTACCAAACAAACAATTGTTTATTACAACTATGCTTGAGCCAATGATTATGATTTTATTATAACAGGTGCCATCTATTTTGTAAATAAACCTACATAATATCCCATTATAAGATAGATAGTTTTAATCTTCTATATTTTTGTAGTTAATAGAATGATTTAATATTCCAGATCATTAAAATGTCAGGTAAGTAAGAGGGCGCTAGGTATTGGTCTAGAACAGAAGCTAATCTCTATCGATTAAATGGTATAGTTTTTTTTGAGATTGTGCGCTATTATCAGATAGTTAATCTTAATCTTTTTTGAAATAATTTTAATTAAGAAATTATAAAAAGAGTATATTACATTCAAAGATCTTACACTATTTTTTGCATTGGTATATTTTCATTGATGTTCAGAACAATAAATTATGACATAATAAAATCAATATTTAATGATTCCGATGGATTTCAATTCTATGTTCGCCAAGAGTTTAATATAACATATCTGGCCTCTATATTTCAATCAAATTAATTTCACAATTCTTTGAAAATTTTTTTGCTCAACTTCATCTGTTTATCAAGTGAATAAAATCTTTTTTGAATATTTACGTTTGTTATATTTAATCAAATTCGTAGTAAAATGAAACACGGCACATTATGATAATGTTCAGCGATTGTAAAACGACTTATTCTATCATGTATAACAGGAAAACATATATCTATGATAATTCTGAAGTTAAGTAGAAGATAGCAAAAAAGATTTAATGGCATTTCATGTTATAACGAATAAAAAGATCACTTCTACTAATGGAAATTCATCTGTTCATATATGAAAAACTATTAGCACAAGTCCTATGAGATTAACATGTAAAACACGATTTAGTTGCTATTGATAATCTCAAAGAGATTGTTTTATTCTATCTATTTTTGGATATACTTCTTCACTATGCTTTTACTTAATTCTCCGGAAATACAATAGTTTATTCCCATGTCATGAAAATCGTAGCGATTAAAGAACATCACAGGACTAGGATGTGTGTGTGCGGTGTGCGCTAAACAGAGATCCTCAATCACAGCCACAACTACGCCCACACCCCACCCTGTTGCTGAGATTGTCATAAGCTATTTTTACTCCTGCTATCTATAGCATAACCAAGGTATAGAGCTTAAGAAATATAATCGGTTTTCATTTCAAATATAAGAATTTCGTACAGAAAAAGATTTTCTACAAATCTATTATCTTCTTTGATGCGTGAATAAGACAGTACAAGATCATCTATGTGCATATTTTCAGACTCTCCATTCTCGAGATCATCGCAATAGAAACTGATAACTTTCGACGGTTATGTCTAGTAAGTAAAAGAAGAAAATTTGCAAAAGACTACAGCAATGCAGTGCGGAACAATCGCAATTTTCGGTAATGCGATTTCAATTACCATAAGAACGATAAACGATTACACTTAGAGTCGATCCTGTCCTGACAAAGGTTTTCATTATTTCTCCTGCTCATAACAATTGCCTGGAGATTAGCTCATCAACATTAATTATCTTGAGTAAAACATGGATGCCAAATCGTTAAGATCACCGTTTTGCGGAATTTACTGGAGATGATTGGAAACTTATATTGAAGATTCAAAAAAGTTTGTATCATCTAGAGACATAGATCGTTCTGAACATAGTTCGAACGAATTTCTCACAACTCGCCGTTCTCTAGAACATTACGACACAAAGTACAAATTTTGTTACAGCTAAAAAACACGCAAAGTATGGAGACCGAATGCGTACGAGAGCGACTACGTAAATACTCTGCTTTGCAATGCATTAATAATAAACTCGTTCGTTTTTTTTGGAGTCAAAAAGTTATATTATAGAGGACACTAGATGCAACATTTATCAAAAAAAATCGAAAAAAAAATCAATTGTGTATATTTCACATTTTTTTTTCTATAATTACTATATAATATAATTTTTAACGGAATGATTAGAATTCAAATGGTTAGATTTTTTCAATAGCAAGAAGAAAGTTGTCAAGAAACGAACGGAATCAAGTAAAGAAAATGGCGCAATTATGAAGGTTTGCCATGTTTAGGAGACGATCATTATAGTTTAACAATGGTTATTAAAATTTTACCTGATCCTTCAACAAAACCAAATATTAATGATCATTTAATATCACAAAAGCAAAGGCGTAGTCAATCGGGTTAGAAAGATTTCTTCATCGAGTTTATCTGTTAATATATGTCTTTTGTTTAAAACTAGCTCCATATTCATCTCATGTTCGATCCGAAATATCTCAACAACGTCGTTTACCAGATGCTGCTGATCTTCGTCGAATGTGTATTATAACAAAAAGTGATTTGAATCGAATCTATGAAAATTTAGATTATCGTCAACGTAATAAAGATGCTATTCAACAAGAAATAGCTCGAAAAAAAGAACTAGCTGAACGTTCAGCTCAAATAACTAAACACTGGCCAAATACAATCGCTGTAAATAAATCAATAATTCAACTTCTTTTTTCATTATAAAAATTGGTCTTTTTTTTTCATTTCAGGGTGCACGTGAACGTAAACTTGAAATGAAAAAAATTCGTGAACAAGAAGAAGAAGAAAGAAAAAAATTATTAGATATTGAAGAAGAAAAACTAGCTGCTGAACGTCGTCGAGAACAAATTGAAAAAGCTAAACAATTAAAATATTATGAAACAGATCGTATTCGAACATTTCATGTAAATATAAATATTAGGCATCCACTTTTTGTTTTTATTTTGTTTTCACAAAAAAAAACATAGAGTGCTCTTCTTCATACGGAAGTCTTAAAAGAACGTGATCTACAAATTGATATGAAAAGACGTATTGAACAATTGCATCATGCAGATGCAGAACAAGAACGTCAACGTTATCAAGTAGCTCAAAATGAATATAAGAAAGCTGAACAAGAAAGACTTGAGAAAAAAGCGAAGTAATTTACTTTCTGATCTATTTCTATCACACAACAATTTGATTTATTCTTTTTTAGAGATCGAGCTAATTTAAGTCAATATCATCTTGCACAGTTAGTGACATTTTTAATTTAAGTATCGATAAAAAAAAAATTAAATTTTCTAAAGGGTCGGACGAAAAAGAATACAAAGTGCTGAAGAAAAACAAAGAAATCAACGAGAAGGTGAAGAATATCGACATTTAGCTGAACAATATGCATTTGAACAAATGGAAATCGAACGATATCGTAAATTAACACAAAAAGATGTTAAAAATATGTATGATAAAGCACTTGAAGATAGATATAAAGTTAAACAAATGGAACAACAGATGGATGATGTAAAGAACAAAAAAGATATTTCATTGTAAATCATTTTCTTTTTGCTATGTTTATTTAGGAAGAAGATGAAGAACTTCGTATATATGCTGAGGCTAAGAAAAAAATTGCTCGATTAAGACGTGAAAAAGATATTCAAGCTCATCAGTAAATTTAATAATATTTTCATGAAAAAAATTACTTGTTTTCTTTTTTTTTTCTAGAGAAAAACAAGAAGCACGTGATCATATGATTGGTTATTTAGGTTCATTACAAAAACGAGCTGAAGCTAATTATGATACACAAATATTTCGTGCTCAAGCACAAAGAGAAGCAAAAGAATTACGGGAAGAACAAGAAAAATTAGATAAAAGACAAAAAATGTTAGAATCAATCAATAAATATCGATATGAAACAGTATGAACGCTTTTAGTTTTGTTTTTTTTTTGATGTCATAAAATCGCTATATTTTTTGTCTTATTTCAGATGAAACGACGTGAAGCTGAAAAAGAAATGGAACAATGTGAAGATATTGATATGCGTCAAAAAAAAGCAGAAGCTGATCAATTATTTCTTTTATATCAACAAGAAAAGGATAAAAAACGTAATCAAAATGCTCAAGCTCTTGCAGATTTTCATTTAAAACAAGCTGTAAGTTATTACAATTGACTAAAGATATAGATCGTAAAATCATAGAAGGAAGAATACCTCTGTCTTTCAGCTATCTTGCGGTATGCGGTGCTGCCTAGTGGATGTGTGAGTAGTTAAAGAGAAGAGCCACACCCTTCGATTATTTCTACTTTTATCATCAAAAGTCCAAAAGACTTAGGAAGATGTTAACAGTAGAACAAGTTCATTTAATTTAACTTAACAATAGAAATGTACAAAGTTACTCTACCCTGCATGGTAGACTAGGATAAGGATTAGAAAATTTTTCTCAGTTATGGTGTAAAAAGCTTACCCATTACATCTCCGAAGTATTGCTAGAACACAGAGCTAGTGTAATGTTTCTTCAATGATATCGAATTCTTCGTGTACTAAGTGACACTACCCAGCAGCTTCTGTTTAAAAAAAAAGAAGACAATTTCTTTTTGAATATAATATATGTGTAACAGTGGTGAATAATAGATATATGTTTATATGAGACGAAGCATTTCTCCGTTAATTGATACAATTTCCCTATCGATTAATACAAGTATCCATGGCTGCCGTTATTATCCATAATGCGAGTCTTCCATAGATAAAATTTTGTAATAGATAACTTTTTTTGATTCAGTACAGATCAGGAAATTCATATTGTACTAGTGTACAATCAATTTAATACGTTCAAGAAGTCGATTTCTAGAGTATAGACTTTACATTTATTTATTCTTTGAAAAATGTCAGAATTAAAATCTTTCTCTTCGTTTTTTTTAGCAAGAACGAAAAGAACGTGAACATGGATTAAAAGATAGTGAACTAGATGAAGTGCAACTTGATAAACATATGAATGAAATTGAAAGACAACAATATCAAGATTATGCTGGACGGGTTATTTCATATATGGAAGAAAATGAACGTAATACATATCCAATGAAAAAAGTAATATATATATATCAGTCATATTTGTTGTTGTCTTTTTTAATATTTTAAACTTTAATTTAGGTATATACTGAAGAAATGAAACGTTTTGATCAATGGAGTCAAGATTACAGAAAAGCTGAAAGTTCAAATAATAATGATGAGAAAAAAACATTCAATCAAAATAAAAAATCATTAGATCAAACCAAAAAAAGTTTGGGTTTCCAATGGAATATATCTAATAAATAGAAACTGAACATTTTTTTTATACACACAGTTTTAACTGTCATAAGTTGACAATCAATAAATCATTGTTTAAAACCAATTTTAACGATTTTTGCTATTATAACACTAGAACATGAGGAAGAAATATTCATGTTCAGCGATTCATATACAACAAAAATGTTTGACCATCCTTCACAGTATAGTGTCGTAAAAATCAATATTGATAACAGAATTTGATACAGCAAAATTCTCAATATTCATTAATAAAACTAACATTAACAATGAAATATTCACTTGAAAGAAATATTGATAAACATAGTAATCGAGTAGAAATATATCGAATGAATTTTGAAATACTTTTATCTAGAGCAGGACCGGAACCAAAAAAACTTGATCCTATACATCTCTAGTCATGACAATATGACATTCGACACAAATTTTTCACGACCATAAAAGGTATCGTTCTCAATGGAAAAGTATTGGCTCTGAACCCAAGCCTCGTTGGGTTCGGACCTGAAAATTTACCGTTAACCGGGTTCGGGCTCAAAAATTTCGTTGAATTATTTCAATGATCAATAAATACAAAAAAAAACAATTAGCCTTTTCGTTTTCAATATGACGTGTCAAGCATTATCTAAGTTTGAACTTCACACAATTCGCTCAAAATGTAATATTTTATATTTGATTCTTGAAAAAATATCATGTTCATTTACATATGCTACTTCTTTTCATCATCAAACAACTGAAACATGCTTTCAGACACACACTTCTTTTATATTTTCGATGAGTTGTCACCTAAAGATTATATCATTAAAAAAAATCACTCATAAAATTAGAACAAAAAGAATTGCTTATCTATCTAAAATTCAAAGAAAATGCAAAAATTATAAAATGTTCTCTTAACACATAATCATCAATTTTTTAATTGAATATATTTTCCTTTTTTGATCTTCATACACGTGTACTTGTAATTTCAACAAGTGACCATTGTCTTAAAAAATTCCATACTACATAACTATATCAAAACATAATTATGTCTATCTTAAACAGGCAAAACTCAATGATAAATTAAGTGAAATAAACCGATTGATATCCCGTTGATGTAATCATTTTATTTTAGGTTAACAATCGTACATAGTTTATATCCTAGTGTGCATGTCTTTTTCTGACAAATAGCATGTGAATTATTGACATCATTCTCTTCATAATTATCTTCCACATTCCCAGCGTTTTTTAAGCTAGAAGAATGATTAAATTTTTTTGTTTTCATATTCAATTAAACTGAAAGAATGTCTTCTATGTTAGTCGATTGATAAGAATTGGAACGATATCTTGATCGTTGATTTCAGATGTTCTATTTCAATAGATTTTTGATGATTTATTAAAAAGGTGTGAACAAAACTAAGCGTAAAGATAAAACGATTTGTTTGAATATTATACTGATGAGTAACGAATATTAATTATATACATTGCATTTGTTTTGCATACATTTTAAATGTTAAAAAGTTAATACTAAGGATCAAAATCTATTTGATTTTCGAACATATAATTTTTGAGAAAAAAACCGTTGTATACAGTATTTAGTTTACACGACTTACCGGCTGTGGATCACATAAAAAATTTATTTCAATCAGTGTTTTTCTTGTGTGAGGATTCACCTTTTGTGGATTATTTCGAAGAGGAGAAATGAACAAATGAGTGACCATTCTTTGTCTGTATATAAATCATTTTCATCGAAGTCCAGAACTTACCCTCATATTATAAAATATAAGTCTATCTGTTGTGCGAACGTATCTTTCCGATCAAACAATTGAGTAAATCATTATCGAGTCGCATGTCTAATTATTAATTCATACTCTATCTGACATGCTTGAATTGTTATGATGCAATATGTATCTCATATACCAAATTTATTGCTTATCGAATAATCTGTGCGAATAATACAATTTGTACGTAGTGTTTTTATTTCAATTATTTTTCTGTTCAATAGTTTCATCAAAACAATGTTTTCTGATTGGTTAAACAATAATTTTCTCTTCATTCTTCGTCTCTCTCTCTCTATATATACACGACATGATATATTATCTTCTTCTGCATTCTTCATTCGATTAATTTGAAAACAATTAGAATGGTTATTCAAAAATTATCATTTACAGAAAAGAAGAAGAAAACTATTTTTGGTCGTTTTACTAATAAATTTATTAATTCACAACGATGTTCAAAACGTGATCAATCAGTTCAAACAAGTTTACATCCATCTATAACAACTACTGTTCTTGTTAATAATCATTTAAAACAGCGAATATATTCATCAAATAATCATAGCGAAAATATTCAAATATCATCACGTCGACGTCGATCATCACTCAAAACATTTCTTACTTTAAATTCACCTAAACCAATAGCATTTATTCATCGTACACGTCGACGTAGTATTAATTTAAAAACACCAAAACGACTAAGCTCAGAATGTCTTGTAAGTTTTTGAGTTTTCTTATCTATAGATTATTTTAAAACACACTTAAAAAAATATCCTCGTTGCTTAAATTTAATCACAAATGAATTCATTCTTCTGTTTTTTTTTGTTTAATAGCAAGTTGCATTAGTTCGAAAAATTCAACCACTCAATCGTTTCGATTCATCACTTATATTATCTTCTTCAACATCACATTTTTCATCTAAACAAATTTTTAATGACGAAACAACAAGTCATGATGAAATTTTTTCTATAGGACCAATGAAATGGAGGTACAATCGTTAGTCGTTTTTTTTTTTAATAATAGAAATTTTAATGTTTTTTAGTACACCTAATCGAACTATTATATACAAAACATCAAGTCCAAATAATAATAATAATAATAATTCTGATCGACAACATCGTCTATGTACTGTAGATCAACTCTCTTTTTCTAATATATTCGATCGTAGTGATTGATTTTGTTTCTTGTTTTTCTTTTTCGGCTTGATTAAATAATTTTCTCCTTACATGTTTAAATTTCAGTCCGTTTTTCAATTTTGTAAATCAATTACTATCGTTTCCAAATGTGGTAGGTATAAGACTATGTTAAATTTAGTTTATTTGAAGTTGACAGATTTGGATGAGTCTTTGGAGACTATACTATTCACGAGTTATAAAGGTTCTCTGGAAATCCAAATGATATCGGATCACTTCAAAACAGGTCAAGACAGGTTATATACCATGTCGAGTGGAGTCCTAATGTTTGCCTTCAATTTCAATGTAATTTAAAGTCGCTAGACTAAGTTTTGAAACAATACGTTTTACAAACTACATAGCAGCATAAATAGATTAATGGACAAGTTCTTCAGAATACTCACCTAATCAGACAGCTTCAATGGGACTAAATTTAACATAGTCTTATAACCATCATGTTTCTCTTTTAAATAGTGAAAATTGCAAATCACTATCTACTTCCTATTAAAAGTTTTGCAACAAATAACCATACCTATTGCCTTTTGAAAACAACAATTTTGTTTTATGTCTATCGAACAGATACAACAAAGTGTACATTCATTCTCTTGCTAATATATTGATCGTCCGAATAGATACACAAAATGATTAAGGACTTACACGTCAGTTTACTTATCTTGAAATCTAGGCGAAAATTCGAAGGTTTTCAGTATATCTCATCGATATTAATATTTATGTTCAATTCGCCCTTCAATGCCGTGCGTCTTTTAATAAGTTCATTCTCCATTGATAAATTTTTCGTCGATAAAAAAAAAAAAAGAAGATATTCGATCAATTCCGAACACACGTGTCTCTAGAATGAAAGTAACTGATATATCTTGATGAATTACTCTGTAACTATTAATTGATGGAAGAACAGGTGAATTCTTTTTTCATTTATAATATCATGATCTAATTCATGAATATATTCTGCTGAATAGATCTATAAACAAATAATGTTTGAGTTCTTAAAGATATGAAATACGTTATCTCGAGTAATCAAACATTTTTATTCACATGTGTTTTTCTTTATTGGATCAATATGTCTAGTATGCTGATTTCCGTTTTATTATCTCGAACTATTTATTCAATTAAAAAACTTTCTACAGTAATATATTTTTTTAACTGAAAAAATACAAGTAAGATAAATAGAAAGATTAAGACGATTCATTAAGTCGAATTCGTGGTGAAGCATTTTTGAATTTTGCAATTTCATTGAGTAATGTTTTTAATTCACTTGAATCAACTATTGTCTTGCCTAATTGTAGAGCAGTAAGTTCATTTACTGTTGCTAATCGTTCACCAGAATCACGCAATGTTTGTAAACGACGTCGATTTTGAAACCAAATACGTATATGTTCAGATGCTATGTCAAGTTGTCGAGCAATTAAATCACGTTGGATAGCTAGAAGAATAAAATAAGTGTTCATATCAAAACAATATGATTGGCAGTCTTACCATTTGGATAAGGTGTTCGTTTGAATAATTCATTAAGTATATAACGATCTTTAGTTGAATATTGTAATCGTGCAGTTTTTGACGTTATTGGTTGTGATTGCGCCTAATAAATCAATATTAATTTTAAAAAAATGACGAATTTAATCAGTATAGAATCATACTTGATTATTACTGGAAGAGAAAGAAAAAGATGCTTGTGAATAATGAAATGTTTGTGCTGGTGATGTTGACATTTGTTGCTGAGAAAATAAAGGTGGAGACGAGCAATATGTACAATACGATATTGGAGATGTGTAAAAATGAGGATAAGTACATGACATTGATGGAGGTGACATGTTGAAAGATGGCGAGTATGAGAAAGTATTCATTATGAAAAAATAAATTTGTTTTTTACATTAAAAAAAATTTTACTTTATATAGAATAGCGAAATTTCTATCATTTTCTATTCGTTTATCTGTTTTGATCAATAGGACATGTTAATTAAAAGCTATCTTTTGATATGTTCTAAATTAGTAGAGACTAAAGAATAAAAGTTCTGTTTTCTATTAGTTGTTGATTTAATGAATGAAAGAACACTGTGATGATTTAAGCTACACAAGCTGCATTTTGATAACTGAACTTTTCTAATAATCAAAATGTTTATAAATTGAAATGCTTATTTTATGATAGACGGCTAACAATGTTCATGTGAACTCTTTATCATTTTTATATAGTGAATAATTTTTTATTATAAATATCATATTCTAAAGCGCGTCTGATCGTGTATAAGACAGTGGATGATGTAAAGTTTCTCGAAAGATCGTTTTTGACTTTGAGAGGTCATTTTATGAAAAATTTCCAATGTCAGACATTCTTTCGAATACGATATAAAAAGTTCACATGTTTATTGTCAGTTGTCTTTTATAAAATAAGCATTTCAATTTATAGACATTTTGCTTTAGGAATACTTTCGTTATTAAAGTGTAGCTCATGTGTTGATATTTTTATTAATATGATTTCAGTTCTTTTGAACAATTGTGAAAGAAAAAGTAATTGAATTTGAAAGATCGTCCAAAAAATTAACTACTTCAGATTATTACATGTCTAGTTCCATTATGATGCAACATTTAAGAATGCAATTTTCTGTCAGCATAGCATAAACAGTGTCTCTAGTTTTGACGCAAATCGCATCTCAAAAGTTAACTTTATGAGAAGGTTATACTTAAATTAAAATATTTACTTACTTTGTACATATTGGTCATTGTTTTCTTTTACTTTCAGATGTTTTCATCTATGTCATTAAAATATCAAACTCTTGCACGTAATTTATCTAAATGTACAACAGAGAGTGAATGTGAGGGTGTGCGTGTTGATGATGCTCGGATCAAAACATCCACACCCATACCCATACCCACATCCACATCCACATCCATCCACACCTACACGTACACACCCACAACAGGGCATTGAACATCTAAACGAACATGGTTATGCAGTGTTCTCTAATGTTGTTTCACCTGATGAGATTACCTCCAATATCGATTTACTGTGGCAACATTTCGAGAGTTTATTACCACCATAATACATTAAACGAGATGATAAGAAAACATGGAACATTACATGACCCAATTTACCTTACATCAGATTACTGCGCAATGGAGATTTCGACCAGTCACAGTTTACGTGGTCAATACGAGGTAATCCCAATGTGAAAAAGATTTTTACTCAATTATGGTAATCATCCAAATTACTTGTCTCGTTCGATGCAGCAGGCTACTTTCGAGGTGTGGATATGGGTGTGCGTGATGAGAAGATCCACACTCACATCCATACCATGAATACCGTAAAATTCGAATATCTTCCTCTAGACGAGCCATGTGCAGTGTATATTCTAAATCTTTTAGTTTGTCGGTGAGAATTTTAATTTGAACCGAATATGTGTAAGAATTTTAACTTACAACACAAACACCTTCATTTGTTAGTGAATTATCTTCTAGAACGTGAGTCCTTTATGTAAACAACCATAGTCAGATTTTCGAAACTAAAATCGATTGTTTCTAAATCAAAAAATCGAATTTCGTTTGTCGTTAAAACATTTTATTTGAAAGGACGAATTAGATTCTACTCGAAATAAAAAGAATCGTATGAAAGGAAAGAGCAATAGAGTCAACCTTTTCAACTTTATAATAGAGAAACAAATCAAAATGAAAGCTATTCTCTCTACTGTATTTTTGAAAGGAAAAAGAAAATACTTCGAACGCATTAATAGCATAGTATTTAGCATCGCTTTTCAAGTTTAATATAGACAGCATCGGGTTGAATTACTAATATCTCTCGACGAATAAAACCTTGTTCGATTTGTTTTCCAGGAAGAATTGAATATTGATGAAGAAGACGAGCCAAACACAGTTTGAGTTCCATTAGAGCAAATCGTATTCCAACACAATTTCTTGGACCTTGACCAAAAGCCATAAATGCCATTGGATGTCGTCGAGTCAAGTGTCGTTCAGGTACGAATAAATAAGGATCATCAGGACCCCATAATTGAGGATCATAATGTAACGTGAGAATATCTGGTTGAATGACATCTCCTATGCAAAAGCAAGAGAAACATGATTTCATTTTTTGAACTATCAAGTTCAATACGAACCTTTTTCAATCTTATAATTGCAGACAATTGTTTCCGTATTGCATTCTCTCGATACAGCCTGAAGAGCAATCGGAAACATGCGTAAAACTTCTCGAATAAACAAATCCATATAAGTCATATTATTGATACGATCATAATCGAGTTCTCCATTGTGTTCTGCATAGAGCTCGTCGATTTCCGTTTGAAGTTTCGTTTGTATGTCGAATCTTGTCGCCAAAATATATGAGCAAGAAGCAAGTGTAGTCGAAGTTGTTTCAAAACCAGCAATCATAAAGAAAAATACATTACTTGCCACTTCATCTTGATGAAATCGTTTCGACATAAGATTCTCATCATTCTTATCCTACAATGAGAATTTTATCATTAAATCATTGCAATGATTATTATTTCTGACTTTAATTTCATTGGATGTGACTGCATCAAGCATAAGTTGTAAGAGATCGATTCGACGTTGTTTATTATTTGCTTCTGATTTGATCTTGATTACTCTTGCTTCAATTACTTGTTTTACTTGATTGATTATCCACATTCCAGGAATTTCTTCGAATTGATTCATGAAAGAAGGTGCCAGATACCGTAATCCATTGAATAGAGCTATTATACTATGAACGAATAGAGTAAGAATTGGAGTGAGCCATGGCATTAAATAACTTAATTTGACAAGAAATATTCTCTCAGGGTGAACTGCAAAGAAATAAGCCGTTTTGACAATAAATGGATTATCAATATCGTTCTGCATATCTGTATCGATTCCAAATGCAGAATGACCTACAATCAAAATATTCATTAGGAATAAACTACTAAATCTAATTAATTTCTGGAATTTCTTATAGAAGATTTGAATATTTGCAAACATTCAATAATTCTTAGCATTATTTGTGATTCAATCTAGTAAATTCTTGGTCAGTCTATTGTCAGATTTTCTATGATGAACTGAAATGATAACGAAGTATGGACAGATTCCCGAATAATGAAACTTAAACAAACACTTAGAAGTAAATAGAAAGAAAAAGAAGCCAACAGAAGTTTCACAAACTATGTCTATGACATTTTCTCGAAATACAGATAAAATGTGTTGATTAGGTAGGAAAATGAATTAATTACATATAACATCCATTGTAAGCCGTTTGTAGAGCGTATAGATGTCGAATTCTTGGTTTTCTTTTTCTTGAATTTTGTTCATCAGTGCATCAATACATTCATTGACAATTGGTGATGTTAGTTTTAGTTTTGTAGTGGAAAATGTTGGATTAATCACGTGTCTTTGACGACGCCAATGATCTCCATTGGCTCCGAATAAATTAATTAGATTGCGACTTTTCAATCGAGCAGTAAAAGGCAGATGTCTTGAATGGAAACAGGCAAATTGTTTAACAAAGACTTCATGAAGAAATTCAACATCAGAGACAACATAGATTGGACGAGTGCCTTCGAACAAACCATAAATTGAGCCATATTGACGAGTCCACTTTTCCCATTGACGAGAAATAGATTCAGCCGACCAGAGAGATCGCACATGACCGAAGAAAAATTGTGGTGGTGGACCCGGAATGCCACGACTTTTAAAATACGAGTAACGCGAATTTAAAGTCCACAAGTAAGCAATCAACAAGAGAATGAAAAATAGAACAACAAGAACCGTTGTGCCGAACAACATTATTCGTGTTGATATAATAAAAGTACGATAAGTAAGCCTGTGTTTTTTTTATTATTTTTCTTCTCTCAAGTTATAAATAAGGTTATTCTCTTTCGCTGCTCAAAATACGACATTATCTGCGTTTTACCCTTCTATGTGATTGGTTGCAATCTTGAATCATACATGTAGGAGCCCGGTTCTTCTTCACTTTAATTATAGCGCCCTCATCCTCAGGCAGTGTTATGTATATAAATCACACTAACCAATGTGTAGATATGATTAAAATAAAGAAGTGCCTAAGGATGTCATTTTAAATACGTGTGACTTTTAGAAAGCTTTAGTTATTAAATCGTAGCTCGTGATTTGTTCCTTCTCTTTATATGGTTTTAATTCTTTTGAACCATTGCAAAAAAATTGTCCAAAATATTGTCCATTATTACATATTGATACTTAAATTGTTCTTGTTGGTATTTCATTTCTTGATAATAAAACTCAACATCATTAAGCAAAAATATTAATTATCAGTAATTAGAGAAAAAAATGGGCACTAAATTTATTTCATATTATTAGCACTAAGACGGTCATTTCCAAAACGTATTTCTTTTGTGTTCTTCTTTAACGACAATTTACGAATCATACAATATTTATTGCTGAACACATTATCCATATAGAATCTTTGATCGAGAAAGTCTTCCTCTACAAGTCTACATATATCCTGATGGAACTTATAGTCGTCTTTCATAGTTAAATTTTGAAGGACAATTGCTCTATCTTGAACAACATAAGTAGACAATCGTTGATTATATGGATTGTTATATGACTCTATTTATTTGATGACTACACGATATGTATATATATATATATGCAAACTAATGTGATATCTTTTGTAATTGATTTAATTTCTTTTTCATCACTGGCCATATTTAATCAAATTGCAATAGTATATTCGTTATTGAAATTCTATCCTCCAATCAATAATTATATAAAAACAAATAAATATCGTAAAAGTAAAACATTTTCATCTTCACTTTGTCTTGATACTGTACGATAATCATTAGATTAGATATATCATATCGTTTTTCAACATTTTTTTTTTGAATTAACATTCATATAATTTATGTGTATCAATCAGAAATTGTCACAAGGCAACTAAAGAAACTGTCCTATGATGGTCTCTGATGTAAACTAAATTATATCTAATATAAGTCAAAATCTTTTGCAAATAACGAGTTGTTTGCAGGAAAAAAAAGTTACCAACATAAAATATTTTCTCCTATTCTTCAGGGCAGATCAGCCCTGTGAAGATTCTCTGATATCTATCTTCATGTTGGATAGAAACTTACTCTACTTAAATTTATACTAAAATTGATTTTTTTCATATAGGAATAACACGTGTTATCTGTATTAGACGTAAAGCATACTCTGGAATATTCCTTTTTAACATAAAAATAAATCCTTAAAAGATTAAAATTGATAGATAGTCAAAATGACTGTAACATTGGATATTTTGCAAATGTCTCAACGTACAAAATTTTTATAACATTACTGTTAAATTCTCTCGAAGAATGGTAACAAATTGTTTCAATAATTTTCTTGCGTGGTTAAAAATGAAGTACTGTTTGACAATTCACTGTTCTATTATTTTTATAAAAACAAAAAATGAAAGTAACGTCAGAAAATACGCTTCGTTTTATTGATTTAGATGTCAAGAACAAAAATTATAGTGCTGGTGCAAGCATATCTCACTTATCTGATTTTCCAGAGAACGAAGAATTTTTGATTTCGCCAGACACATATCTTGATTTTGTTAAATATGAATATGATGATACAAATAAGAAACATATTATCTATCTTAAATTGTTTGAACGTAATAGTAGTGATTCCTACGATCAATATTAGTAGAGATTTTTGTCCTTTCGAAATATATGTAAATGATCCACTATATAGAATTGATGCTTTAGTTAACTTAAACATAATTTTCTAGAGCTAGTCCAGCTGTTGATGACCTCCCAAAACTAAAGAACATCATTAGAAGATGTAGAGAACAAGGAAAATGTAGTTATGTACGTGTGTTCTATGTATTAACAGACGGTTTGTTTGATCATGAAAAGTTTTCTCTTTTATCTTAAACTATGTCGAGTAACAAGTTACAATAGATCTTTAACGCTTGTTTCTTTTCAACACATGACTGATGCAATTAACTTGATGTTGTGTGAAAAAACAATTTAATTCATTCTTTTTTCGGAACATTTCTTGTTGCACTTATGAGTAGTCTAGATGACGTGAATTTAAATTAAATTACAGAACTTTTCACATAGAAACATGTGTTTTTCTACGCTCTTCTCCGGTTTCCAAAATATTACTTCACATTAGGACAGTGCTTGTAAATGAAGCGGATTCACATTTATTCGACTCCACTATAGTGCTTATTCAAGGTCTTGCAATGTTTTTCAGACAATCAGATCTTGCGCAGAAGATTGGATGCATCGACGTTTTCAAGGATGAGAGAACGAATAATAAAGATAAAAAGCAGTGATATAAATTTGAAGAAGCTTATAAAAAAAATACAAAATTACTCCTGAAGCGTTTGAAAAAAAAATTTACCATGCACAATAAAGTGCAAAAATAAAGGAAGAGCACAGTTTTATGTCAATAATACAGAAGTGATCTTTTCTTTTCATTCATCTACGACTTTATAGAATTTCATTGGAAATGTATAAAACAGGAATGTCATTGAAGTTACATAGAGTCGTATTTTCCAATTACAAATGCCAATACCAATGCAATTAAACTGAATATATATCCGATTAGACCTAATGCTGAAGCTGCTCCCATTTTCCGGTCATCAACAATGTGTACACTCACTCCGATAGCCCAACCGATTAATCCAAACAGAAAAGAGACAAGAGCTGAATGAGAAAAAACCGAATAAGATAGTCAACATTTGAAATAATCTAGAGTGAGTTTTTTAAAAGTTTTACCCATAGCTATTGCTGCATAATACATAACCTTTGGATGTGGTCGAAATACAATATATAGAAGTAGGAGAGCACCAATAACTATAGTCAAAAATAAAATGAAAAAATTTCGTAGAAACTTTTCTGTTGAAGAGCTTATTTTTAAGTTAAAGGTCTTACATGCTGCTATTGTTGCCATTATAAAAAATGCCCGTGCAGCTTTGATCTTATGACAGACATCGTCTCCTTGACAATTTCCAGGCAAAGTACCACTCCATAATCCAGCACCCTCGAACCCCCGCAAAACACCATAGCTTTCATCAGCCTGTGCAACTACATAGAATATGAATGCTGTTAGCCTAAAATAGAATATAGAAATAAATCTACCATCGAATTTTAAAGTTACATGTCAAGCCTATCTCCACGGAGTGTATTTTAAGTCAGTTAATATCCCACCACGCAATTTTGTGATCGGGAAGATGTACACGTCTGTAAAATGTTCAGACATCAGTTTACAGACCACGATTGTGCTCGCCTCTTTTAAGTGTTTTACCGTCAATCATTTTTCAAGCATCCTGAGTACTTTTTACTTACAAGAGTACACCAGCAGCTACACCAAGTATCAATTGTTTCGGTGCCATTTTAGATCCTTTTGATAGTCAAACGTATCTAATCTAAAAGATATGTATATATATATATATATATATAACCACACAAATAGCAACAGTTAATAGGTAATATTTCTATCATTTCTCATTTTCATTTTCATTTTTGAGAAAAACGATAAAAGAAACAAAAAAAGGTTTTTGTCAAGCCAGAGAGTATTCGCGTACAATTTGACTTTTACGGCAAGGTCTCTCGGTTTCAGTCCTTCTGACGATCTATAAATATAATTTTCTCTATTAGAAGTCCTCTGTAAAGAGAAGTAATCAGTCGCGGAATATATTTTCTATCACAAAGACCCTCTTCGACTGTTTTCAGTTTTTTCTCTTCTCACAGTACTCTAATCAACTTTATTGAAAAGAAGAAAAATCAGAAAATAACAAAGCTGCTTATTAGCTAGGTTTACGCTTACATTCTTCTTCAAAGAGTTTTGAAACTCATTAAATAGGAGAAGAAGGGTCACGTCAATATCAAACTATCCAAATGTTTGATTTTTGATATAAAAAATGATAGATCAGAATTCTTACAAAATATGAAGAAGAAGATTCGCTTAAAAATATAAAAACCATGATAAGCACTCATCATTTCAATGAAAGAATGAGATTTCTGAGTTTCTAGATAACTTTCCAAACTTTAACTCACAGAATAATTTACTGTAGGACCTACTACTTATCCATCAAGAGAAGCAGAAAAACAATTGACACTAGAAAAGAGAAGGAAAGAGAATCAGAGTGAAAGAATGTTGATAGAGTCTGCATTTTTCGTAAAAAGAAGAAGTAGAGAGCGAATCAGAGAGAAGAAAGAATGAAATGTCAAATCAACAAAAAAAAAATGTGAAAAATCAGAAGAAGAACTAGTATACCCTAATCTTAGAGTTAGGCCACTTGTTTTGAAGACAAAGGTTCACTCAATTCTGCTCCTGAGCACTTTTTCGTCAACAAAGAAAATCAATCAATTAAGTCATGAATGAACTATTTCAAACATAAATCACCGATTTTCAGTCCAACTATACGACTTTTGGTGGATATCAAGTTTCTTAGTCTAGTAGAAAATAACTCTCCAAAGCAAAAAAGCGCGAAAGACTGCTTTTTATTGTGTTTTAGATTTATCTTTAATTACTTATCGAAGTGGAAGTAATATTCTTGTGTTTTAAGAGCATACGAAGAAGAACTTATCTCTGTATTGAAGTATCTTTCAATTCACATTTTTTATCAGTTTGATGCCATTTTAGGCAGGTAATGATATTTCTAATTACAAAAATATTCACGCAGAACAGTTTTCTTATGCTCATCATATCTCTTTTCGTAAAAAGGCATTTGATGCGCGTTCTTACGTGCCTACGAGCTTGACATAGATGATATAGAAGTTAAAAAAGTCAAAATAATTGAAGAAAGCAATTTTTTCTCTTACTTAAACGCTCTTCTTATAAAAGCGTATAGCATGATACTAAAAACGCACTTCCGAATCTATCTATATCAACTCTCTGTCCTCACTCCACTAACAGTCATATAATTTTATATCATGTTTATCACACAGTAGCGACATTATAAAACACGTTACCTTGTTAACTTTAAACAAAATTGTTTTTTTATTTTAGTTTGTTATTTCTCTCCTTCTTTTACTCATAACACTCTTCATACACTTATTTATCCTCTCGCATTTCTTCTTCTTTCTTTCTGATCATAACAACAAAATAGATCAAGAAAATAGATCAGTTTCAGTAGTGCTAATAAAAAGTCCATTTCTAAAGTCTCAAGAGAGAAAGTTCTTTCTCCGAAAAAAAAGAGAAGTACTTCTCATATAAGGAAAAAAATTAATAATTAACATGTGACTGAAGTACTGTTGTAAGATCACGTTTCTAATCAAGAAATGGCAAGCACTTCTCTTAGAAGTGAAAGAGCTGAGAACTCAATATTCAGCTCCTTTATTAGACTTACGCTGTAGATTTAACAGACAAGTCTCAGTTGCACTGCTTCTTCTTCATCATTTTTTCTTATGTAAAATAACTTCAACTCCTATTTATACAAGGCAAAAAAGAAGTTGACTAAAAAATTTATAATTGATCAAGTTAATCTTTAATCATCCTTTTTTTTCTCTCTCTCTCTCTCTTTTTCTCTTTTCAATATTATTCGTCTTCTTCACTATACTATCTCAGAGAGAGAGAGAGAGAGAGAGAGAGGAGAAATCCAAAAAGTCTTTGTAGCTTTTCTCTCTCTTTCTGAATGAGATCATAACGACAGTAACAGCAGTGGATTTGATATCTACATGTCCCAACTTCAGGGTGTATAACAGAAAGAAGAATTTTATTTTTTGTTCTTCCTTCAATGGTGATAAGCAGAAGTGAGAAAAGAAAGAGAAAAGAGTGAAATATCATCGTATATCAATTGCGTAGAGAGAAAAGAATATGAAAACTTCATAGTTAAGAACGAATATGTACACAGATGTTCAAGCTTTCTACAGATCTGTGACAGGAGGGAAGAACTTTGATGTATGTGGAAAATCTGGGGCTGAGACAAACACTATTCTATGGAAAAAATTAGAGTAAAAAGAATAGTGAGAAACACAAAAAAGTGAGAGTTTGAAGGGTTTTCGAAGTTTTTGGACGAATATACAACATTTTTGCAACTTTGTAAACGAAGAAACAGTCATTTTTGGAGATTTCGAATGTGTTTCAAAAACTTTTATGATTATTTGAGTGAAAATCACTGGGTTTCGCAGTTTCAAAGGGATACCAAAACATTTTTAATAAAAACTGACGTTTTTCGACAAAAAAAAATGGTTTATACCTTTTTCCAAAAACATTTTATGTAAGGTATTTTTTTTTTAAAGAAGCATTAGTAAACGCGGTTTACCGTTACCTCTTATTAAAAACGTTTTAACATCCTTTCAAAAACTGAGAGACTCCTTTTTTTCTCTCGAAAAAAAACTGCTTAAAAGCCTTAAAATGTGCTTAGAAATTCCTGAAAATGTCTATTTTCCGTTCAAAAAGTTACAAAAATGCAGGTAATCCGCACATTCCTAATTGTTTTCTTAAATGACAAAAGCTTTAAATGAATCTACATAGATAACTTTAGCTCCAGAAAGAAAGGTTTTTGACTTCGCGAAATCATTGTTGTCCTAAAGTTAATTGGTTAGAATTCCAATATTTTTGAACTTTTGGACGAATTTGAGCGTTTAATAATCTAACTCGAGTCAGAAAGACGAGATAGCTCTCTAATAATCACAGCAAACCATCTAAAATGGTCAAAACTTTGTTTTTATCAAGATACTTTTGAGTAGATCCACTAATATTTCAACGATCTTTATACCACTACTTTTGTTAACGATTTTTTATAGAATTGTGTCTATGAAAATCATGCTGTTTCAGAAGACGTTTCCTCGATGGGATGAAATTTTTAGCAAAGTAGTGATGGTTCACCATGAAGCATAACTACTTTTATAGAAATGTGATTATTTTTATAAAAAAGTTTAGATGAGAAAGACTTCTATTAAAAAATGTTATAAGGTGTGTATCAATCCTATATAAGCATACTGGCGTTCCACTCCACATTTTCAGCGTATGCAACGACTTTTACAAAAATTTTCATGTGAGTCTATGCATATTATCACAAGTTGGAGATACGACTACAATGTAACATAATTGAAGGTCTCTCTTTTAAAGGTTACATATTTTGAGGTACTTTCAGAAAATGACTTCTAAATTTTAACATGCTTTGACAATCGGGTGGTGATTTTGGAGAAAAAGTTATGATGTGAGAAGTGAAATAGCAGATGAAAAGCACGTAAAGAACTAATTCCAACAATAAGAGACCGTTCTCGAAATGTAATTGCGTTTATTCCGTTTAAAGGTGCACTATAGGATGTAGGTGTGGGGTATGAGGTTGAGCCTTGTCCTCTATCATACACATACCTCACAGCTATATAAGCACTCACGCCCTTGCTGATACTAGATGCAAGAAGATTAAGAAAATGAGTATGAAGTGCTCTCTTAATCTATTGAAACAAATCAAATATTTATCAAAAAAAAAAAAGATCAACGTCCACTTTAACATTGCGTTTTTGAAATTAATCACTTTATCAAAGTTACCTAAGCACTCAAATAGATGCAGATATACATACTTTAAGAAAGTGTGTTTGGCATATGCGCATAAGCTGTTAAGCAAATTGATGTTCTGTGAGAATGTTTTTATCGATACTCAATAAAAGAAAAAAGATATCATAATTATTTTGTATTTTATCATAATTCTTAAGATTCATCTTGTTGATTGAGGGTGTGTGGATGTGGGTATGGGGTGTAAGTGGGTGTGGGTGAGTGTGTGGGTGGGTGTGGGTGTGATTCGAGATGAAGAGAAAAACCACACCCCACACCCCACATCTCACACCCACACCCATACCCACGCCCACCCGCACTTTTTAAAGGAATAATTCCATTCATATAATGATCGTACGTTCTCTCATAACAATATAAACAATGGAGGATCGGCAACATCAACGATGATGCCAATTATAAGTATTCTAAAGCTATTGGTACCTGTTGTGCATGGCTGTATGCGCAATAGTTTTTTATTTCGTTTACTCAACAAAACATTAAGAGATGAAGATATGTCAAATGTTAAAACTCTCGATCCGTTTGTATACTTACTTGAATGTTTCGTTTCACCTTTCTTCAAAACATCAGATTTAATCCTTTATTGAGGCAAAAGTTTGGACAAAAATATGAAGGAGTGTTATCGACAAGCCGTTAGTACATTAAGATCATGGTTAGCATTTACAAGCTGACAAGTAAAAATTGTCAGCTTGTAGAGGTTTTTGGTAACACATTATTTATTATTACATTCGATGCAGCAGAAGAGTTTTCAGTGAAACGTAATATTTCAGGTGCATCATAATTTCTGAAGAAAGAAGTTCTTTTGCGCTCTAGTGTGATATTTATGGCGGTGAAATTTGAAATTGATCATACGAATACAAAATGTATTAT